TCCACGTTCCCTCATTCTCCAGGAACCTGGTTGGTGCCGGCTGTCTTCAGGACCTCGGCGTCACCACTACGTTCCCTGGGCACGAGCGGTTTGCTGTCTGTACCGAGGCTGTCTCAGGTTCCCCGCTTGCGACATTCCCCCGGGACCCGATGTCCGGTCTGTTTACCCTCGACACCGCTTCCCCCCAGGTTGGTGCGTCCTCCCAGGTCGCTGCCCCTTGCTTGTGTCGGTCCCTCACTCACCCGTCCCTTTTGTGGCACCACCGCTTAGGTCACCCTGCTCTCCCACCGTGCACGCCTTGCGTCGAGGGCCGGCTCCACCGTGCCCCTCACTCCTCCTTGCTTCGCCCTGCTAATGCTCCCCTTCAGACCCTGCACCTGGACGTTTGGGGCCCAGCCCCCGTCCCCCGACCGTGCGGTGAGCGATACTTTCTTGTGCTCGTCGACGACTACACGCGCTACACCACGCTGTTTCCCCTGGAGCGGAAGGCCGACGTGCCCGACATTCTTCTCCCGTGGGTTGTGGCTGCGCGTCTTCACTGCAGTCTCCCCATGTTGCGTCTCCACTCTGACCGTGGCGGCGAGTTTGCCTCTGGTCGGCTTGGCCAGTTCTGTCATGCGGAGGGCATCACCCAGTCGTACACCTTGCCGGACTCGCCACAGCAGAATGGGGTTGCTGAGTGTCACATCGGCTTGGTCATGGAGGTTGCTCATACCTCCATGATTCATGCCGATGCCCGCCATTTTCTGTGTCCGTTCGCTCTTCGCTACGCTGCTCACCAGCTTAACTTGTGGCCACGCTCCCAGCGGCCACAGGTTTCGCCGACCCTCCTTTGGACCGGGTCCCCCGGTGACGCGTCTGCGTTCCACCTCTGGGGTTGCCTTGCTCACGTTCGTGCCTCTGGCACGGACAAGCTCACCGCCCGCACTGTCTCCTGTGTCTTCGCCGGTTTCCCCCTGGACTCGTCTGACTAGCTCTTCTACCACCCGCCGTCTCACCGCTTCCTTCACTCTCGTGACGTCACCTTTGACGAGTCTGTCTCCTTCTACCGTCGCTTCCCTCACCGAGGTCTCCCAGTTCCCCCCCCCCTGTTCCTTGCTCCCTCTCCCCCGGTAGCCCCTTCTCCCCTCCCGCCTCGTCCTCCCCCGTCTGGTGTCTCCCATGTCACTCCCCTTGTTGGCTGTCCCCGTCGAGGAGTCTGCTGACTCTGGTGGTCCCCCCCGCCCGTCCTTGCCGCGTCCCCCTTCCCCGGTATCTCCACCTCCACTGTCGCAGTCGCCGCCGCCGCTGCCGCTCTTGGCCTCTGGGGGTGCTGGCGTTGAGGAGGGTGTTCGTTCTGCGGCTCTTGGCGTGGTCTGTCTTGGCGGGCCTGGGGGTGCCGCTGGTGCTGGAGGGGGTTCTAGCTCTGGGGGTGCTGCTGTTGAGTCTTCTCCCGGTTGTCGTTGTGCCCCTGCCGATCCGCAGGTCGAGACCCAGCCGTCGCAGCAGCCGCCGCAGCCGGAGTAGCCGTCGCCGCCGGACTCCGCTCTTCGCCTGCTCGGCCTTCCCTCCCCTGACCACTCGACGGTGTCTCCCCCACCACCTTCTCACCTTCCTGTCTACGGCCTTGTGTTCCCGCCCCCGGACTCTTCTCCGGCCCGTCTTCCTCCTCGTTCCCCTATTGTGTCCCCTCCACTGTCTCCTGACCCTACACCTCCGTCCCACGTTTGGTCTCGACGTCCCTCACATGCTCGTCCAGTCTCCCCTGTCCTGCGCTCCCACCCTATGTCGCTCCGTTCTCACTCGTCTCGTCTTCCCCTCCTCCCCTCACCTCCTCCCTCGTCGCTTGTTGTTGCACCTTCCCCGCTGTCTGACTACCTTCGTGCCGCTCGTCCCCTTGTCCCTCGGGTCCTTGCCTCTCTTGTTACAGCATGCCTGTTCCGGTCTCGCGCCTTGACGCGCTTGTCGCTGCAGCCGCTGACTTCGCGTCTACCCGCCGCCTTGACTACGCTACCGCTCTGGTCTCTGACCCTGCCCGTCCTCCGTCCGTCAGGGGTGCACCTGCCCTGGGCAGTGACGTTCTAGAGGACAGGCTGTACGAGCTTGCTTTCCTTTCTAAGGCCGCTCCCTATCTCTGCTCCATGCTCCTTGTCCCAGAGGGTGACCCAGACACCTTCGACATCCCGACCCCTCGCACCTACGCTGAGGCCGCCTCGGGACCCTGGGCTTCTCAGTGGATAGCTGCCATGGAGCATGAGATGGCATCTTGGAGGTCCACCGGCACTTACGTCGACGCAGTTCCCCCGCCTGGCGTGAACGTAGTCGATGGTCGGTGGCTCTTCAAGGTGAAGCGCCCTCCTGGAGAGCCGCCTGTCTTCAATGCGCGCTACGTGGCTACAGGCTTCAGCCAGCGCAAGGGGGTGGACTTCTTCCAGACTTTCGCCCCGACCCCAAAGATGACTACTCTTCGGGCACTGCTACACATACCAGCACAGCGCGACTACGAGCTTCACTCCCTCGAATTCTCTACTGCCTTTCTTCAGGGCAGCCTACACGAGCAGGTCTACCTGCGTCGACCTCAGGGCTTCACTGGTACCTTCCCCCCTGGGACCCAGTGGCTTCTCCGGCGCTACATAGACGTCCACCCCCTTGCGCTGGCTTGTCTACATAGACAACCTGGTCTTCGCTACTGCTGACAGGGACGCACTGGCCTCCGTGAAGGTCGAGCTGCTGAAGAGACACACCTGCACTGACCTCGGAGTGCTGTGTCTCTACCTTGGCCTGCAGATCTCCAGGGACAGAGCAGCACGCACTATCACTCTGACACAGTCACACTTGGTGCGTCAGTTCCTTCAGAGGTTCGGTCTTCAGTTCTCCTCCGCACAGCCCACACCTCTACCTGTAGACCATGGGCTCTCTGCTCCCGTTCCTGAGGAGCCAGTAGAGCCCAGCGGCCCCTACGCACAGCTGGTGGGTTGCCTCATGTACCTGATGACTTACACTCGCCCAGATCTCGCATACCCTCTCAGCATCCTGGCTTGCTTTGTGGCCACCAGCAGACACCGACCACAGCACTGGTCGGCCGCTAAGAGGGTTTTGCGATATCTAGCAAGTACATCGGGCATGGGGTTAGTGCTTGGAGGACGCAGGCCAGTGGTCCTCACTCGGCACACAGAGCTTCTTGGGCAGACGACTTTGAGACTCTCAGGTCGTCTCAGGGCTACTGTTTTAGCCTTGGTTCGGGTGCTATCTCTTGGAGATCCACTTGCTCGTTGTCTGTTGCCCAGTCCAGCTGTGAGGCTGAGATCTACGCCGGTGCCATGGCGGCACAGGAGCTCCGCTGGCTTACCTTCTTGCTCACACACTTAGGTGAGCGGCCTAGCTCTGCCCCAGTCCTGTACGCTGACAACAGGGCCATGATTCTCCTGTGCCAGGAGCCTCGACTTGAGGGCAGAGCGAAGCATATCCAGCTGCGGTACTTCCTCCTGCGCGAGCTACAGAAGCGTCGCCAGGCCCGCGTAGTTCACTTGGCCTCCGGTGCCAACACAGCTGATATCTTTACGAAGGCGCTTGCACCTAAAGATCATCAGCGGCACTGTGTGCAGCTTGGTCTTGTTCCTGTAGCTACTCACTTGTTAGGACCCTGATTGTGTACTCTCTACTATATATACCTGTCTGACTGGCCTTGTGGCCTTGCCCCCAATGGCTGGACTAGTAGTGCCGCCCTGGTTTGCTTTAGTCTTGTTTGTACTCTTGCTGACTGGTCTCCGGACCCCTGCCCCAGTGGCTGGACTAGTAGTGCCACCCTGAGCTGTGTGCTTCTTGCTTAGCACTACCCCTTCACTAGCCTAGGGGGTGTGTCAACTTATACATATGCTGTATGTAGAAGTTATAGGCTAGCCTAGGTGTGTGCTTCTACTGAGTGCAACCCCAACAGGTATATGTTCTAGGTTTCTCATACTAGCAAATCATTCTCTCTTTCTAACATGTACTACATGCAGAGCAACTGCCTTGCCAGCATTCTCACCTCGTGCGACTTCGAGAACCCACAGAGGAATGCCAGCGAGTGACGGTCGTTCTGTGGGGCCCAAGCCCACCCCCTGACCCCGCCCTGCAGTGGCCATGGCGTGTGCTCCTTGGTGCCCGACCCTACTAAAGACCATGGAGACCGTTTTGAAGGGAAGCTGCAGTGCACGTGTGATGAGGGGTACACGCGAGGGGCTGCTGCTGGCACTTGCGTCCCTCAGGGTGTGTATGGCAGCGGACCAATGCTCTTTCTACATGCTGTTCATTTCCCTCAGGCGCTCACACCCTTTTTTTGTCGACTCAAAGGCCACCTTTGTTTGTGCATGCACGCTCGTATGCGCGTCTGTGTGTGCGTGCATATGTGTGCTTGTGTGTGTGGGCACACCCTCCCTTTTCATGCTTCTATACTTCCCATTGCTGTTTCTTGTACACATGCTCTTCTCCTTCTCTCTGCATCCACCCTGTTAGCACCAATCCCCTATAAGCTCCGATTCCCCAACCCACCCTGTGAACCACCAGCTACTGCATTCACGTGGGAGGCAGATTATGTTTTTCAGGGGCTTCAAGTCTTGCTGCCGCTACTGCTTCCGCTAGCAGTGCTGCTGACCTTGGCACTGGCATAGTTTCTGAGGCGTGTTTGGAACCGACCCCCTGCAAGACACTGCCGGTATTTATTTTCAAAGAAAGCACTCGCTTCGCTGCCCATCAAGCGGCTAGTGGTGTGTAGAGGGCACTTGCTTGTGCAGTGCAGCATTGAGCTGATCTGGGTCTGCTTAGTTTCCATAATTGGTTGCATCTGGGCGTTGGATTCGTTTCGATGCATTTTCATTCCGTGCAACTTCTACCGTACCAGCTCTCTTGGCTTCTGGGAGAAGTCCAAGTACCACTGTATTTGTCCAGAGTCTATTTGAGACATCTCACTAGTCCAGTGCTTTGGCCCTTGGATGGATTGCTGCTACTGAATCTCTCAGTTCATTTCATATTATGCACTGATCTGTACCTTAAGCCAGCATGGCTTTTGCTGTGCTGCTGCACTTCAGCAGATCTTCACCCATATCAATCCATGCAAACAAAATGCTGGATGGATGCTAGTACAGGTACTGTATGTTCTGGCAAGAGTGAGAACAACGAACTGGGCTAGTACGTATCTGAACGGTTGGGTATCACTGCGTGCAGTACGTAAGTTTTCGATCAACCTACCGTTCACGCTCCAGGCTGGAGCCCATTAACAGATGTATTTTGAGTCGACTCAAAATACAACTTCACGCTCCAGGCTGGAGCCCATCAACACCATCATCGTCATTGCCACCATCACTGCCACCAGCCTTATGGGCACCTCCATCACCACCATCCACATCAGCACCATCGTTGCCGTCACCAGCAGCAGCAGCAGCAGCATCGGCGGCAGCATCGGCGGCAGTAGCATTGCCGTCCCTATCACCACTACCGGCAGCAGCGCCTGACTCCCCCCCATTCCCATCAGCACCTCGACCACCAGCATCAGTGCCCTCTCCTGGCTCCACTCCCTCTGCTGCTGCAAAGCGCACTCCACCCCCACCCTTCCTGCCATCCTCCCCTGCACTCCCACCCCCACCCGCATCCCCACCCACACCCGCACCCATGCCCATGCTTCCACCCTCTCCCCCAACCCCAGCCCCAACCCCACCCCCACCCATCCCCATCCCCATCCCCATCCCCATCCCCATGCCCAGCCCCGTGCCCATGCCCATGTCCAGGTTCGGTGCATCTGCGCTGTCGTCATTCATCACCTCCTCCAGGTGGCGGAAGAAGTGCGACACGTGGGTGCGCTCCAGCATCACGCACGACGACTCAAACATGTCCTGCCGGTACCCGCACGCCCCGCCCAGCCGCTCCCCTGCCCGTGCAAATGCAACGCCAAACGTGCTGGTGGGAGGGCGGGTGGGTGGGTGGGAGGGCGGGTGGGTAGGTGGGTGGGTGGGTGGGTGGGTGGGTGGTTGGGGAGTGACCAGTGGCGGGAATAGAACAGAAAAGAAGGCATCAGGTTTAGTGTGGGAGAGGCATGGAGAGGGAATGGCCGCACGGTCGAACGAGGCGCTTCAAAACTGGCGCGAGCAAAGATGCAACGGTGTACAGGGAATTTTCGTCTGCAACAAGGAGTTCCAACCAGGGTAAGCACAGGGGTTCTTCGATAGAGCTGAGTGGAGGAGGATACTTGCGGCATACTTGCCCATGAGTAGGCCCAGCCGCCCAGCCAGCATGGCCTGTGTGGCACCCCCGCGGTGAGAGCTGATGGGGGTTGAACGAACCGATGCCTTCCGAGACAACACAAAAAGTCAACATTGGGGTGTTTGCATAGAGCTGAGTGCATAGAGCTGAGTGGAGGGTACGTACTTGCCCATGAGTTGGCCCAGCCGGGGTTTGTGTGACACCCCCACGATGAGCGCTGACGGGGATGATGGTAGCGAGGCTGCCACCACCATGGGCCGAGGCCGCTCGCCTTGCTCCTGTGGGGAAAGAGGGTGACTGGGCTCAGTTTAACAAGTGGTGTGGAGGACACACATTTGCCCACGAGTTGGCCCAGCCTGCGCCCCCACCATGGGCCAAGGCCGCTCGCCTTGCTCCTGGTGGGGCAAGCTGGGGTCAGATGAGGGGGCGGGGTCATTGAGGAAGCCTTTAAAGAGCACCGCCATGGGTGGAGCACCGCCATGGGTGGAGCACAGCCATGGGTGGAGCACAGCCATGGGTGGAGCACAGCCATGGGTGGAGCACAGCCATGGGTGGAGCACAGCCATGGGTGGAGCACAGCCATGGGTGGAGCACAGCCATGGGTGGAGCACAGCCATGGGTGGAGCACAGCCATGGGTGGAGCACCGCCATGGGTGGAGCACAGCCATGGGTGGAGCACAGCCATGGGTGGAGCACCGCCATGGGTGGAGCACAGCCATGGGTGGAGCACCGCCATGGGTGGAGCACCGCCATGGTGGAGCACAGCCATGGGTGGAGGCTGCTCCTGCAGTGGCCACAATGGGTGGCTTATGAGGCCGCTCAACAGACGGGGAGGAGAGGAAAGAGAGTGAGCAACGAGACGAGACACGTGAGAACAAGTGGGTGCGCAATGAGAAGCGCTCGTCCTTGCTCCACTCAAGAGCCCTTTTTCTCCCACTCTCCCAATCGCCCCCCTTTTCTCCACCTCCCTCCCTCCCCCCCACCCACTCCCCTCCTCCCCTCACCTTGAGTGCGTCCATAAGAAGAGCAGCAGGCGCGTGAGGGCGAGGGGGTGCACAACGAGGTGCACTCTTCTGACATAACTCAATCCCGTTTCAAACCCCCCCGCAACCTCAGCGCCTCTCCCCCTCTCACCTTGAGTGCGTCGATGAGGAAAAGCAGCAGGCGTGTGAGAACGAGGGGGTGCGCAATGAATCAGGCACTTTTCTACTCGATCTAGAGACCCCTCTTCCCCCATTCTTCGCGCCCCAGCACCCCCCAACACCCCTCTACAAGAGGATGCGCAATGAGCAGAGCTCAATCCTCTACAACTCAACCCCCAGCTCACCACTCTCCCCCTGTACCTTGAGTGCGTCCATGAGGAAGAGCAGCAGGCGCGTGAGCGCAAGGGGGTGCGCAATGAGCCTGGCGTCGCTGTGGTCATCCAGCAGCATGTAGCGGAAGCGGTGCCGCCCAAACGTGCAGCGGATGGCACCCTGTGCAAGGGAGGGCGGGAGGGAGGGATAGGGGTAGTGTAAGGGATAGGGAGGGCGAAAAGGCAGGCATGCCATGAGGTACTGAGGCAAGGAGCCGGGCGTCACTGTGGTCAGCCGGGCAAGGCCTTCAAGCAACTCTGAAGCCCGTAGGTACAGGTTGACTGACTGACCTTCTTGGCGATTGCGAGGCTGCCCTGGCGGACCAGCGCTGCCTGCATGCGAATGGCCAGATCCATACCCTCCTCCAGCTGCTTCCACCCACGGCTGGTATAGGTTGAATGAGGCAAGGGCGGGGGGTAAGCGGGGCATGGGAAGTTCGAGGAAAATGGGGAGAGTGTGAATGAGCTTTTGGGTGTCTTAAAGACCAGCGCAGTCTGCATGCAGATGGCCAGATCCATGCCCTCCTCCAGCTGCTTCCACCCACGGCTGTTGAAGTTGGGAGTAACGAAAAGAAGAGGGGGAGGGAGGGAGAGGAGGGGGGGGGGGGGGGGGGGGAGTAAGAGGAAGATGGGGAGTTTGTGTGCAAATGGTCGGGTCCATACCCCCGTCCAGCTGCTTCCGCTCATGGCTGCATGGAGGGTGGGTAGGGTGGGTTAGGAGACATGGGGAGAGAGGACGATGGGAAGTGTGGTGGGAAGCAGAGAGCGGACAGCGAGTTAGAGGGCCAAGAGTGGGTAGCAGAGAGAGAATAGCAGGGGGAGAGGAAGTGTTACAAGTGGAGAGAAGAGAGTGCAGTCCAGAGGAGTCGTTGCTGCGCGCATGGGAATGAGGAGCCCATTATTGAGGCGCCCCAGAAAACAGCAGAGAGGCCATAGTGACGCATGGGGGTGGCAGAGAGGGAGCGGGCGCACAGGACAGATGCAGGGAGGAGAGGGCGGACAGGTGCAGGGCGGAGAGGGCAGACAGGTGCAGGGCGGAGAGGGCTGACAGGTGCAGGGCGGAGAGGGCGGACAGGTGCAGGGCGGAGAGGGCGGACAGGTGCAGGGCGGAGAGGGCTGACAGGTGCAGGGCGGAGAGGGCGGACAGGTGCAGGGCGGAGAGGGCGGACAGGTGCAGGGCGGAGAGGGCGGACAGGTGCAGGGCGGAGAGGGCGGACAGGTGCAGGGCGGAGAGGGCGGACAGGTGCAGGGCGGAGAGGGCAGACAGGTGCAGGGTGGAGAGGGCGGACAGGTGCAGGGCGGAGAGGGCTGACAGGTGCAGGGCGGAGAGGGCTGACAGGTGCAGGGCGGAGAGAGCGGACAGGTGCAGGGCGGAGAGGGCTGACAGGTGCAGGGCGGAGAGGGCGGACAGGTGCAGGGCGGAGAGGGCTGACAGGTGCAGGGCGGAGAGGGCGGACAGGTGCAGGGCGGAGAGGGCGGACAGGTGCAGGGCGGAGAGGGCGGACAGGTGCAGGGCGGAGAGGGCGGACAGGTGCAGGGCGGAGAGGGCGGACAGGTGCAGGGCGGAGAGGGCAGACAGGTGCAGGGCGGAGAGGGCGGACAGGTGCAGGGCGGAGAGGGCTGACAGGTGCAGGGCGGAGAGGGCTGACAGGTGCAGGGCGGAGAGGGCGGACAGGTGCAGGGCGGAGAGGGCTGACAGGTGCAGGGCGGAGAGGGCGGACAGGTGCAGGGCGGAGAGGGCTGACAGGTGCAGGGCGGAGAGGGCGGACAGGTGCAGGGCGGAGAGGGCTGACAGGTGCAGGGCGGAGAGGGCGGACAGGTGCAGGGCGGAGAGGGCGGACAGGTGCAGGGCGGAGAGGGCTGACAGGTGCAGGGCGGAGAGGGCTGACAGGTGCAGGGCGGAGAGAGCGGACAGGTGCAGGGCGGAAAGGGCGGACAGGTGCAGGGCGGAGAGGGCTGACAGGTGCAGGGCGGAGAGGGCTGACAGGTGCAGGGCGGAGAGGGCGGTCCATTAGGAGTCATTGCTGCGTGCATGCGCATGCGCACTGTCCCTGTCGCCATCCGCATAATGACCCGCAGGAGCTGGAGAGTGGCTCTCCAGTAGTGAGAAATTGAGAGGGAGAGGGGTCTTACAGGTGCAGGGCGGATAGAGCAGTCCAAAAGGAGTCATTGCTGCGCGCACTGTCCCTGTCCCTGTCCCAGTCTGCATGGCCCACAGGCGTAGGAGAGTGGCTCTCCAGCAGCGCAGTGATGCCGTACACCACGTCTGATGCCGACACGTGGAACCTGGTGCGGGCATGGGGATGTCGGGACGGGGAAGGAGGCAAGTTGAGACTTCCACGCAGAGCAGCAAAAGACCCAGAAGTCCCTTCCAGCAGCGCAGCGATGCCGTACACGACGTCTGATGCCGACACGTGGAACCTGGTGCAAGCAAGTAAGGTGACAATAGGCCCAGTACAGTTGTTAAGAGAGGTGGTGAGTTAACCCCGAAGCCCCTTCCAGCAGCACAGTGATGCCATACACCACGTCGGAACCTGGTGCAACTTGCAAGCAAGAAGGTGATAACAGGCCGAGGAAGGTGGTAAGGGAGGTGGAACCCTAAACCCAGACGTCCCTTCCAGCAGAGCAGTGATGCCATACCGTACACCATGTCTGATGCCGACACGTGGAACCTGGTGCAAGCAAGACGAAGCTGATAACAGGCCAAGGAAGGCAACAAGGGCTGGGCTGGGAGCTATGCGGAGCTGAAGAGGGAGAGAGCAGAAGCTTGAGATGGGAAGGGACGTACCATGGCACACACAACACAACGCACCATTGTCTCGCCCTCACATATAACTTCGTGCACATGAGTGGGGGCAATATAGTCAGCATACACATCTTCCCACATGCATGCTCCTACAGTGCTCTCGCCCTCACACTCATGTAGATCCATTACACCTGACTTCCTACTCTCACAATTATTAAATCCAGCGCACCTGCCCCACTCCCCTCTCACTCACTTGTATCCGCTGGTAGCACATGCCCGACAGCCCGTGGCTGGATCAGGGTGTAGGGTCCTATCATACACACACGCAGACTACTCCCCCCAAACTCACTTGTATCCATTGTATCTGTGGGACGCCCGGTAGCACATGTCTGAGAGCCCGTGGCTGGTCAGCAGTGCACTTGGGTACCTGTCATACACACACAGCTCGTGCACCACACACACACCCAACCCCCCCCCACACACTCACTTGTATCCGTTGTATCGGTGGAACGCCCGGTAGCACATGTCCGACAGCCCATGGCTGGGGCCAAACCGCTGCACGTCGTCCTTGAGGCGACTGCTCACCGCCACACACAGGGGGGAAGGGAAGAGAGGTAAGGGGGTGGAGGCGAAGGGGGAAAGCAGATAGAGTGGGGGGCAGCGGGAAAGGTGGGGGAAAGCAAATTGTGGCTGGGCCCAAACCACTGCAGGTCGTCCTTGTGGCGACTGCTCACCCGCACAGGGGGGAAGGGGAGAAGGAAGGGAGGGAGCGGGGAAGGTGGGCGGGTTGGAGGCGAGCAGTAGGGCAAGGAGACAATGGGAAAAGGAGGGAGGGAAGCCTAAAACACCCGCGCCTGCACCTAGGAAGCCCACAGCAACACCTGCATGGGGTACCGCTGCTAGGCCTGCGCGTGGGGGATGCCCAGCTGCCCCAACACTCTATTTCACCATTCCCCCCACCCTCCCCTCCCCCCCTTTCCCTGCATCCCTCCTTACCATCCCATTCCCCCCCTGCACCCTCGGCCACTACCAACTCCCCCCATTCACCCTCTCTCCCTTTCCCCCCATTCACCCTCTCTCCCTTTCCCCCCATTCACCCTCTCTCCCTTTCCCCCCATTCCCCCTATCTCCCTTTCCCCCTCTCTCTTTCCCTCTCTCACTAGTGCTGCTAGGCTAGGCCTGCACATGCGGGATGCCAAGCTGCCCCACCCCTCTGTTTCACCTTCTTTCAACTTACTCCCCCTCCCCACCTCCCCAGACCCCTCTAATCCCCCCTTTCCCTACTTCCTCTCCCCCCACCTGCGTGTGGCAGCGGGCATGAAGGGGTAGCGCTGCTTGGCCTGGGCGTGCGGGATGCCCAGCTGCCCCAGCAGCAGGCGCAGGCGCCGGAGCCCCGGCTCCGTCCACGTCTTGAGCTTGGTGGCGGGGTAGGACGAGTAGAGCAGCGAGTCAAAGAGGTTCCAACGGGGTAAGCACATCAGCCGCAGCCTGGGGGGAAAAGAGGGGGAAGAGGGCGGAGGGGGGGAGGAGGGGGTGGAAGAGGGGAGGAAAGGGAAAGGTGAGGGAAGAAGGCAGGGTTTAGGGAAGAGTGGGGTAGGGGCGAGGGGTGCAGAAGGAGTGTGGAGAGGAGACGGTCGGGTGGGGAGTGCCGGGCTGCATCCACATCTTGAGCTTGGTGGAGGGGTACGACGAGAAGAGCAGCGAGTCAAAGAAATTTCCAGCACGGTAGACACATATCAGCCGCAGCTTGGAGGAGGGGTGAAGGGGGTGGGGGACGAGGAAAGAGGACCGGGGCGGATGGTGGGAGAGGAGGGAGAATAAAGTGGAGGGAAGCGACAAGTGGGATGAAGGTGAAAGGCGCTGGGAGGCCAAAGACGGGAGAGGGGAGAGGAGAGCGAGAAAACGTGAAGGGCAGCCAACTGGCAAAGGAGCAGACGTAGCAGGCAAACACGCCGACGAGGGCAGGCATTGAAAGGGTGAGGGGCAGCGGGGGGCAGCGGGGGGCAGCGGGCACTGACTCATGCTGGAACTGTATGCACCCCATGTCGGGTAGCTTCACTGACACGCCATCCTCCATCACTGTGGTGTCTGCTGAGTCTACACAACCCAACAGACACCTTGGTTCGACTCAACAGGCATCAAAAGTATGAGGGGCAGCGGGCGGGGGGCAGCGGGCACTGACTCGTGTTGGAACTGTATGCGCCCCATGTCGGGTAGCTTCACTGACACGCCATCCTCCATCACCGCGGACCGTGGGGCCTCCATGGCCGCTGCTGTCGTCACCTGGGGTTCATGTTTCGGGTTTGGGGTGCATGTTTCGGGTTTGGGGTGCATGTTTCGGGTTTGGGGTGCATGTTTCGGGTTTGGGGTGCATGTTTCGGGTTTGGGGTGCATGTTTCGGGTTTGGGGTGCATGTTTCGGGTTTGGGGTGCATGTTTCGGGTTTGGGGTGCATGTTTCGGGTTCAGGGTGGGATGAGCGAGAGAGACAAGGGAGGGAGGATGGCTTCGCATACACGCCACCCTCCATCACTGCTGCTGACCGCACGGCCTCCATGGTGGGTGCTGCCGTCACCTGCGGGGTGGCGGGTGGGGGAGGGAGAGAAGGGAGGGGAGAGCGGGGAGGGTGAGGGGGGAGGGTGGGCGGAATGAGGGAGAGGAGGAACAGGGTTGTTGAGTGAGAATAGGGAGGACGGTTGAGATGAGTGGCAATGGGGCGAGGGAGGAGAGGAGAGCAGGTGGTAAGAGAGATGGTAAGAGGGATGGTAAGAGAGATGGTAAGAGACTGGGGGCAAGGGATGGCTTTACATGGGCGAGAGGGGTTGAAGCAGCAGCAGGACGTGTGTGTGGATGGGACGAATGGAAGCAGAAGGTGACCTTTGAGTCGACTCAAAAGGCAGCAGCAGGACGTGTGTGTGTGGATGAGACGAATGGAAGCAGAAGGTCAGAGCCGGACCATCCCTCCCCCATCCGACACCCCTCCCCTATCCCTTGTCCTCCAGATACAAACAGCTGGCAGCGAAATGAGCAAGGTCGATGGCACTAACCACGCACACTACCCCTCCCCGCCCCTCCCCTCCCCACCCCACCTCACCCCGCCCCGCCCCCTATATCCTCCCAATCACACAACCCTAACCTTGTCTTCCAGATCGAGGCAACCAGCAGTGTAGTGCTCCGGGGCAAGGCGTGAGTGCACGAACTGGTCTGTGATGGACACACACGCCAGCCTGGGGGGGTGAAGGATAAGGGACGGGTGGTGGTGGCGAGGAGGCACGGGACTGCTGTTGATGTGCCTGAAACAAAGGCAGCCAGCAATGTCTCGGTCGGTTGGGTGAGGGATAAGTGAGAGCACGGACTGGTCTGCGATGGACACACACACGCCAACCTGGGGGAGGCGGGATGAGGGGGAAATGGTGGGTTGATGGTAGCGAGCGAGGAGACAGGAAACTGGCATCAAGGAAGCTCAAACAACGACAGCCGTCTGTGTAGAGTTCAGGATACAGGAGGAGTGAGTGTATGGATTGGTCTGTGGTGGACACGCACGCAAGCCTTGGGGGAAGCCGGACGAGGGAGGGGAGGTGGGAAGGAGACGGGAGCGTGCTGTTGCTCGCTGGTGTCCCGTCGCATGCCATGCGCCGTATCTAACACCACGCACCCCAACGTACTTGTCGAATTAACTGCACTGCAACCCCCCAACCCTTCCCCCCTCCTCCCAAGAAACACCCATCCTCTCCTTGCGTTTGCGTCTCACGAGAGGTGCTCGCTGGTGTCTCGGTGCATGCTGTGCGCCATCTCAACCACCACACACACTGATGCATTTTCCTAGTTGACTGCAACCCCCCAAACCCCACACCCCCATACCCCTTAACCCCCTGTTCCTCCCAACCCCCCTCCCTCCCCCTCGTCCCCTTCCAAACCCGACCCTCTCCTTGCATCTCACCAGAGATGTTCGCTGGTGTCTCGGCGCATGCCGTGCGCCATCTCGTACACCACGCACCCCGACGGCTGCCCAAAGAACGACCCCCGGTTGTAATACTCCAGCTTCAACCGCCGCCTCTCCCTCCTCCTCGCCCGCACCACCGGATCCCTCTCCCTCTCCCTCTCCTCCTCCCTTTGCCGCCTCCTCCGTCCCCTCTGCCCCCTCCTCCTCCCTCTCCTCTTCCTCCCCTCACTCCCATCCCCAAACCCATCATCATCGTCCTCCTCATCCACATCCCCCTCACTCTCCTCCCCACCAGCAGCACCCGCTCGTCTCCTTCCCCCTCTCCCATTCCCCCGACCCCTTCCTCTCCCCGGGCTAAACCCATCGGAATCGGAATCAGAGGGGGGATCCGAGTCAGAGTCCCAGGGGGAGTCTTCCCCCTCGCTGCCGCTGCCTGTGGCGCCCTGGTCCGCCAGGATGCGCGCTAGGAAGGGGTCCTCTGGCTCGCTCTCTGGGGACTGGGCTAGCACCACCTGTGGGGGGGACAGAGGAGGGAGGAGGTGAAAACGAGGAGGGAGGAGGTGAAAACGAGGAGGGAGAGGAAAAGAGATGAGTGGGTGTTGCCGAGGGGGGTGGGGGGGGGGAGGATGAGGGAAGGAAAAGAACGAATTCGAATTAGCAGCGCAGGGCAAGCGAATTCTGCCGCCCAAAGTGAAATGGATGCTGCCTGTGGTGGTGCCCTGGTCCGCCAGTATGCACGCTAGGAAGAAGGAATCCTCTGCCTCGCTCTTTGGGTACCGAGCCAGCTAGCAAGCACAACCTGAAGAGGGAGGAAGGAAGGGGGGGGTGTGGGTGGGGGGGTACGACGGAGACGAGGGAGGGAGAGGGATGTGAGAAGACTGGATACGAAACAAGAGAACGAATGCGCCCATGTGCGCTTTAACAACCGCACTCCCATGCCCGCGCCCACACCCACACCACACATGTGAGCGCACCTTGGTGTTGTGCAGCCTGGCGTTGTTGAGGTGCACGGGGCGATGGCAGTCCACCACAAAGAGGGACACAGACGGGCCCACTCCCAGAAGACCACACAGATCCTCCGTGGCGCCGCAGTTGAGAAACACGGCTGTGTACGCCTGGTGTGTGGGGGGGGAGGGACGGAGAGGGGGGAAGAATGCACGGGGTGGAGGGAAGGTTGAAAGGCGATGAGAGAAGGTGATGGGGTACAAGGCAAGGGCAGAGGCCTGTCAGGTGGACGTGGGGTGGCGGACCGACCCACTCACTCCCAGCAGCCTGTAGAGTTCCTCCGTGGCACTGCAGTTGAGAAACATGGCTGTGTACGCCTGGTCGGGGGGAGGGAGGGGAAGGGGGGGGGGGGGAGGTGGGGGAGTGGGGAGGGGGGGGGGATCACATCACACGGGGATGGGTGGGTGGATGAGGGCAGGTGGAATGGGGTGCGTGGAAGAGAGAAAGGACATGAGACAGAGGCGGAAGCATACGAAGTGATGGTGGTGGTAGATGGAACCAGTGGGCTCGGATGTGTGCAGCAGTTAGGGCGTGAAAGAACAGGCGCACGTTCTTCTTGTGCCCACCCACTCCTCAAACCGCCTGGTTTCTCCACCCCACATCCATATTCCACCCATCCACCTTCTTCTTCACCGCCGCTCTTCCTCGTGCTGCCTCCACTCTTCCCTCCCTCCATTCCGCCATCCCGCCCTCCCGCCCTCCCTTCCGCCCTCCACTGCTCTCCCCCTCCACTTTCCCGCTCCCACTCCCTTTCCTCCGCCTCTCACCATCTGCTTACCAGCCTCTCGCCCACCTGGTTACCAGCCTCTCGCCCACCTGATTACCAGCCTCTCGCCCACCTGGTTACCAGCCTCTCGCCCACCTGGTTACCAGCCTCTCGCCCACCTGGTTACCAGCCGCGGCCTTGTTAGCGTGCGCGCTGATGTCATCATAGCCATACACGGGGAACACCGAGTACTGTAACGAGTCAGCTCGTAGCAAGTCCTGCCAGGGACAGGGACGGCCAAGCGAAACAAGAAAGCCGCGGAAATAATTTCGGAAAATGGAGGTCAAAGGGCAACATTCGGGAAGGTGATAGGACACGGGGGGTCGGGAGACGTGAGATGAGATGGGTGCATTGAACGAAGGGCAAAGGCTTCAAGAGCGAGAGGAAGAGAAACCGGTCAGAGACCGCCGCTAATTTGTTTCCAACGCAGCAACTGGTACACGGCGTTACATGACGAGCACATGCCTAGGGAACACCAGTCTGGACTCTGGGCAATGTGCACACCACACGCGCCTACAACGTGCCATCTGCTGACCGTCCGTTCCCCTGCGCCTTCTACATCGCTTCCTTTCCATTTCCAGTCCCCTGCGCCAGCGCCTGTCGGTTCTGTTCAGCTGATCCTTCCAAAGCCTTCCATCAGAGGCCCATCCATCCGAATTCGCAGTGGACCCGGAGTGTGGGTTATCCATCGTCATCCATCGTCAGCCATCTCTCTGGCCGATCGCGCACAACGACGATGACGATTCGCTCGCCTCGCCGCCGCACCTTATCCACTCTACACACACCGCTTCTTACCCCCCCTGAACGGACTCCCAGCCCGAGAGACTTCTCCCCCCGCGGATAACACTCCCATTCCCTCGCGCGGCTTACACACCCCTTCTCCCGCGCGGTTTACATACCCCTCCCCTCGCGCGGATGACACTCCCCTCCCCCCGCGCGGATTACTCCTTTCCCCCCTCGCGCCGTACTTTCCTCTCTGCCATTGCGGCTCGCTCGTCTGACCCCGTGCGGCGGCGTACCGTGAAAAGAAACAAGCGCGATGGCGGAGTCGACTTAAATGCCGGCGACGATTCTTGAGGCGCGTCGAAAACCTTACTCCCTCCCCCCTCTCCATTCCCCCTTTCCCCCACCCCCCTCCTCCGCCCACACCCCCCGACCCCCTTGCAGCTCATCCCTTGCTCCCCGTGCGAGGTGACTTTTGAGAGTATCTTAAGGGCGACTGCCGAGTCGACGTAGATGCCAGCGACGATTCTTGAGTCGCCTCGGGATTCTTACTCTCCCTCCCCCCCACACCCTCCCGCCATTTCCCCGCCTCCCCCTTGCGGCTCACCCTTCCCCTCCCCCCTGGGGCGTACCGTGAGTATCTTGAGCGCGACGGCGGAGTCGACGTAGATCCCCGCCACGAAGACGTGCAGCGTGTGGTCGCCTCGGGAATCATACTCCCCCTCCCCCTCCCCTCCCCTTCCCCCCTCCCATTCTTCGCTCCCCGTGCGTGCGGCGCGCGTACCGTGAGTATCTTGAGCGCGACGGCGGAGTCGACGTAGATGCCGGCGACGAAGACGTGCAGCGTGTGGTCGCCGCTGCGGCCGCACGACTCCTTGAGCCGCTCGTAGAACCGGAACAGGTCCTTCTCCAGCACCATTGCGCGCCGATTCGCCAAGTACTACGCGCGCGCTGCGTGCGAGGCTCTTAAACTTACGGAAAGACACCGCGGTGACTAGCTAGTGGAATGGAAGAGACACAGCGGCAGCGGCGGGAGTCTATTTTTGAGGCGCCTAAAAAAAAGACACAGCGGCGGCGGTGACGAGAGGTAGTCGGAATGGTGAGGCACAGCAGCGCCTAAAGCTAGTCCAATTGGAAAGGCGAGCCGATTGAAGCGAGTAAGATGGGAGAGGCGCAGCGGCGTAAAAAAGGTAGCCGAAACAGAGAGTGAACGAAATGGTGGGTAGGTGTCACGTCGGGAAAGTGCTCAATGCGCTTATCTTCCCGCGTAAGCGAGGTGAACAGACGAGTCGCGACGGGCAGACAGAGTTATCAGCAGTTTATCATCGCTACCCGCCATGGCTGCTCAACGGACGGAGCACCTAAGCTAAGTGGCTAAATATCGCACATGGGACTTCCCATTCTGGTGTTCGTAAGAGTGAGGTAGGGTGAGGTTGGGCTTTGGTGGGGGAATGGGTGGAAGCTGGGAGGGAGACACACGGCAGGGAATGGTGGCAGCGGGCTGTGTAGGTTCGCGGTTGTGTTTCGTTTGCCTCGTAGATCTGGGCTGTAGTGTTCTATGTTTTGCGACTTGGTTTTCAATCGTGTTCTACTTGTATCCAGTACTGTTTCTGATGAGCTGCATGTACGTGCCATGCAAAAATTCAAATGTTCAATTTCCAGCGATTCGTTACAGTCCCCTCGTGTGTGGGCCGAGCGATTTGATTGGTTACCACGCCTCGAACTCATCGCCACAAGCACATCCCTGCGTCCTCGAGGCGGCTGAGAAAAAAGCGCGGGAGCGTGAGAGGGACGCTCTCGAGTTTCGACACTGCGCGCCAAAATCCAGGCTTGAACCAGAAGCCGTCCCTCCGTCCTCACTGCATCTTACAGCACCGTACTTCAATCCCAGCTTACAACTTCCGCCTCTCAGTTTCCTTGCCTGCCTCGATTTCACCCCCACCACCAAACCCACTTCCCTATTTCCGAAAACGGCCGATACAAGACACACGCAGTCATGGCTGGAGGTCATGAGTTTCTAACCCAACATAGCCACCTGAGTTCCGAGACAGGTTTTTTTTTTAGGGCGCGTTAACGCTTCTGGAGCATGGTGAGAGCGGCGAGTTTCTCCGTTGCAGAACCGAGCTTCAGAGATTTTGGATATGGTTGCCTTGATACCCCCAGCACTTAGTCTAGTTCGCGAACAGCCACTGTTTAAATCTCGATGTTTCAACCACCTAACAAATTTCCCTCCCACCTTTCGCGTTGCTTCTCCGCAAAGAAGTAGGAACTAGAGCTTTCTCCTTATTTTTCGTTCTCGTAGGAACTACTGTATCTACCGCTTGGCGTTCTCGCGGCTCCTGTGACTGTATCGGGCGCTGCGCGCCATGGCTGCGACACCCGTGGCTGCAGCGAGCGCGCCTCTGCCGTACGCACCGCAGCAGCAGGAGCAGCAGCAACCGGAACTTGACCTCGCGCCCGCGTGGGTTGCGGAGTACTTTTCCGTGGTGCACGGCGTATCGCCCTTGCTGTTTAAAGGTAGTTAATTATTTAGTCAAAAGTCGGTAGTAAACTCAACTTAAGGTCCCGCCGTCTGTAGTTCATGCAAGGAGGAGCGGGATGTTCTTGTCCTGGTTATCGAAGCTGTTAGCATGTAGAGGCGGCGATGTTTTTGTGTGCTATTGTTGGTCGCTGTGATTGGCTGGCGATAATGTAACTCTCCTGCCATGCGCTGATCCTCATCTTCTGCTCTTCGCTAAGGTTCGCCTCGTCGTGACACGTGGCAGCTTGCTAGAGAGGAAAACCAAGGCAAGGGGTTCAAGCTAAGCCAAGGCAAGGGAATGAGTAGGCTAGGCTAGGCTAGGCTAGGCTAGGCTAGGCTAGAAAAGTCGAACAACGTCCGAGACCCAACAGTCATATCGGAGTGGGCTCTTTTGCGCGCCTCCTTATCTCCTCTTCATCCCGCCTTCTGCCTTTCTCTCCCCCCCCCCCCCCCCCCCACCCTCCCCACCTTCCCCCGCCCTCCCCTCTCCGGACTCCGTCCTTCTCCCCCACCCCGTTTCTTCCGCAGGTCTCCTCCCCCGCCCCCTGGCGCAAGACAGCGCGCTCGTGCTGCGCCACATCGTCCCAATGCTCCGCGCGGCGCTCGAACACCGCGACCTCCGCGCGGAGCAGCTCCCCTGCATCCGCGCTCTGGCGCAGAAAAGGGACTTGGCGGAGAGAGGGGGAAGAGAGCAGGGGGGAGGGGGAGCGGAGGGGGGGGCCGAGGCGGACGAAGGGGTTCCTAGATGGGTGCGGCTTGTGGTGGAATGCTGTACTGCGGTGAGACGGGGTGCAGTGTGGTGGGATATGCTAGGGAATATCAGAAATTGCTGTTAAATCTTCCTTTTTTTCTCTGATGTGTTCTTCGCCTTTCACCCCCCTCTTACTCTCGCCCTTTTTTTCCCAGTACCTGCTCTCTGTGCTCCCTCTCTCCCCGAATGCACGCTGCCTCACTTCGCTCTAACGCCGTCACGCTCCCACTTCCCTTGGCCGTCGTTCCCCCCTCCCCCACCCGCCTCCTCCCCTCCCCTCCTCTCCCCTCCCCTCCCCTCCCCTCCCCTCCCCTCCCCTCCCCTCCCCTCGCCTCGCCTCCCGTCCCCCCCACGCCCCTCCCCCTCGTTCCCCAGTCCTTCCTGTCGTGCCTTCCAGAGGCATTCCACAGCGAAACTCCATCCCGGGCCACCAGGCAAGCGGCAGCGGCGGCGGCGGCAGCAGAGGCAGCAGAGAAACAGGCGCTGGCAGCAGCAGTGGAGGCGTTTGGGGAGGGCGTGTGGGGGGAGCGTGCGGGGAGTGATGGAGGGGCAGATGCAGCTGGAAGGGGTGATGAGGGCGCAGCAGAGGGGCGAGAGGGGGCCGAGGAGGAGGAGGAGGATGAGTTGCTGCGAGGGGAAATAAGGCGCAGGAAAGAGTCCCTTAGAGCTGTGCTGCAGGTGGGGTTTGGTTCTGCACTGGTAAACGGGAAATGGGTCTTCAGGGGAGAGCGCTTGCTGCGCGCGGGCCACTCTGTTTGAAACTATCCTCGTGTGCATGCTTGCTCTCCTCGTGTGCATGCTTGCTCTCCTCGTGTGCATGCTTGCTATCCGTGTGCCCGCTCAAGCGTAAGACATTCCCTTGTTTGCATCTTTTGCTCTTCATCAACCCCCTTCCCCAAGTCGACTTCTTCTACCTCCCAACAGCCCTCTGACTCTCCCCCCCTCTCTCCAACCCCCCGGTCACCCTCCATCTCTCTCCATTGATGGCCTCTCTCCCCCTATCAGGAGGCGGGAAGCAGTGTTGCAGGCGTGGCAGCGTGCTGCAAGGAGCGGTTCCCCCAGGGGGAGGTGTGGGGCCATCTGCAGGAGCTCGTGGACTGGGCTGCAGCTGTGCTGCCTCCACCCGTGTTGCCAATGGTGAGACGCATGGCGGCACGCCCGCATGTGCGTAGGCTCACTCACTCTCTGTTCGAGTCAGTCGTTCCCCCAGGGTGAGGTGTGGGCGCGCCTGCACAAGCCCCTGGACTGCTGCTGCTGCTGCTGCTGCTGCTGTGCTGCCCGCTCCAGTGCTTCCTCTGGTGGGACACATGATGGCATGCGTGCTTGCACTTTGCTGCGCTCTCAGTGAAAGTTGGTTGTTCTGGTGCTGTGGCTTGTTCGCTGGTGTGATGTGGTGCGCACTGCCTAAACCGCGTGCGGCTGCATCTTTTGCCACACGCGTTGTTGTTGTGGAGTGAGGAGTCGCGTTGCCGTGTGATCATGTCCTCTGCATTGGCATGTCTTGCTTGCGGTGCGCGACTCGCACTTCGCCGTGGGCTAATCTTCTCTTCTGCACGCCGTGCCACTCTCGTTCTTTGCCATCCCTTTTTCTTCCTCCACCCAGCAACTGCGCCACTGGAAGCTTCGTCCGCCCGCCCCTGCACGCCTGCCCACGCCTCCCCCTGCTTCTGCTGCCCCTTCCGCTCACCCTGCGCTGCCCTCTGCTGATGCTGCCGCTGATGCTGATGCTGCCCCTTCTAGTGCTGCTGCTGCTGCTGCTGCTGCTGGTGATGCGGCAGCCGGTGCGAATGGCAAGGAGGGGGGGGAGAGGCGTGGGGGGAGGAGCAGGAAGAAGAAGAAGGTGACTAAGCCCATGAGGGAGGAGAGCATGGGGGAGGACGGCAGTGAGGGGAAGGACGGCAGTGGGGGGAAGGACGGCAGTGAGGGGAAGGACGGCAGTGAGGGGACCAAAAGGGCTGCAGTGCCAAGGGGGGAGGAAGTTCCAGGGGAGCAAGAGGCGAATGGAGGGGTGGAGAGTGGTGGTTTGGAAAACGGTGGGGTGGAGCAGAGTGAAGTGGAGCGGAAGCGCAGGCAGGGAAGCAGGGGAGAGGAGGGCGGCGATGGTAGGATGGGTCTGGATGAGGGGAGAAATGGCATCCATGTTTCGGCCGGTGCTTCGGCTGCTGGTGTTGCTGCTGCCGCTGCAGCTGATGCTGATGGTGCTGATGGCGCTGGTGATGCTGCTGGGGGGGACGAGGAAGTGGGGCATAAGCAGGTGAGAGGAGGGTCAAGTACGGAATGAACAGTGGGCACACTCCCTTAAGCCCTTTCCCCCCTCACCCGTTTGCTCCTGTCTAGCTGATTGCTGCAGATACTATGGGGGCAGGCAGGCGGCGCCTCTCCTCATGCTTCTCCGAATCTCCGTCCCTTCTGACTGCCCGTTCTCTGCAGCCGCCCAAGGGCAGAAAGTTGCCCTCTGTGCTCATGCGGGCGAAACAGCCTGCTGTGAACCCAGATGGTGAGGCGACAGAGGAACGCGCAGGAGAGGCGGGGGGGGGCGGGACGGAGTACGGAGAGGTGGGCGAGATGCAGAGGCAGCAGCAGGAACGGCAGGGGGAGCAGGAGGAGGAGCGAAAGGAGGAGCAGCAGGAGCAGCAGGAGGAGCAGGGGCAGCGGCAGCAGGAAGAAGGGGGGGAGGTGCGGAGGAGGAGCAGGCAGAGGGGGTGGAGCAGGGGCGACAGGGAACGGACGTGGATGAGATGTTGAGGCGGGGGCGAGGGAGAGAGCATAAGACGAGGATCCCATGGGCGGGGCGACGACATGTGAGGCGGATGGAGTATGAGGATGTGGAGGAGGAAGAGGAGGAGGAAGAGGGGAGGGAAGAGGGGGAGGGGGGGGAGGATGAAGGGAAGGAGGAAGAAGGGGAACAGGTGGGAAAGAAGGGGAAGCAGAAAGAGGGGAAGGAGAATGTGGGGAAGGAGGGGGGCCAAGGAGGGGGAGAGGGTCTGGTGGGCAGGGAAGGTGGAGAAGAAGGGGGAAGGGCGGTGGGAGGGGGGGAGGTAGGACGAGAAAAGGCAGGAGGAGAGAGAGCGAGGGCGGAGGGAAATAGAGAGGAGAGAGGCGGTGTTGCAGAGACAGCGGGCAGGAAGGGGAGAGGTGAGAGGCAGGGGGGAGGCAGGGAGGCGAGAGAGGCGAAAGAGGCGAGGGAGGCGAAAGAGGCGAGGGAGGCGAAAGAGGCGAGGGAGGCGAGGGAGGGCAGGGAGGCCCCAGGGGAAGGTGACAGGGCGGAGGAGCAGGAAAGTGAGTTGTTCCGGTTCATTCGAGTGAAGGGGAAGGAGGGGAGGGCGGAGGGGAACGGGCATGCTGCAGACGAGCAAGGTGCTGTGGCGGCAGCAGAAAGGCAGACACGCTCCAAGGCTAAGGCCAAGGCACAGGGGCGTGCAGAGGGAGGCGCGGAAGCAGAGGCAGAGGAAGAGCGAGAGGCGGCGCAGATGAGAGGCGTGGGAGCTGATGCTAGGTCTGGTCAGGCTGAAACAGCCCCAGGCACACCTATGGGCACAGCCGTGGGTATGGGGGGCATGGGCATCGGTATGGGTATGGGCATGGGTGGTGTAGGGCACATGGGCACCCCCAGGAGTGGCAGGAAGCGGTGTGCTCTCCTGTGCTCTGTGTGCGGGTACGGGCCGGGAGGCAAGGGCAGAGCCACAGGCGGCCACGTGGGGCCATTGTTCCCATGCGAGGGGTGTGCCCAGATGTTCCACTTCGACTGTGCTGGCATGCTGTTTCAAGACGTGGTGGATGTGAGCGCGTGGACGTGCAAGGGGTGCTTGGAGGAGGAGGAGAGGGAGCGAGAGCGCGAGCTGGAGAGTGTGAGGAGGGAGAAGATGAAGAGGCTGAGGCTGTCCCCGCTGGCTGCGAAGCTGCAGAGGAAGCTGCAGCAGCAGGAAGAAGAGGGGGCGGAGTGGGGGGAGGGGCAGCAGCAGCAGGAGCAGGAGAAGCAGCAGCAGCAGGAGAAGCAGCAGCAGCAGGAGAAGCAGCAGCAGCAGGAGAAGCAGCAGCAGCAGGAGAAGCAGCAGCAGCAGGAGAGGAACGAGGAGCAGCAGGAGAAGCAGCAAGATTTTGGGAGGGAAGGGTGGAGGCGAGGAGGGGATGGGTTGGGTCGTGGCATGGGTGCGGGCGAGAGGGATCCGGGAGGAGGGGAGGAAAGGGAAGCGGATTTGGGAACGACAGGCAGGAGGGAGGAAAAGAGGAGGGAAGGCGGGACGGTAGAGAAGGGAAGTGGAGAGAGAGACCTGAGGAGTGGGGGGACGGGGGAGGGGAAGGAGAGGGTGCAAGAGGGGTTGGAGGAGGGAAATGGGGTGGAGGAGGTGCGGGTTCGGCTGGATGCTCGTATGGCAGCGGCAGGGGGCGAGGAGGGGGAGGAGGACGAAAAAGACGAGGTCGAGGGGGAAGAGGAGGAAGAGGTAGGCGGCTCGGGTGGTGGTGTGGTGAAGGGAGGGAAGGGAGTCGGGCGCAAGGGCAGGGGCAAGGGGAAAGGGGAGGGGCTGAGGAATGGGGAGAGGGGACCTGGGAGTGGGAGAGGAGATGAGGGCGTGGATCGCAGGGCGAATGGGATGGCTCGAGGGAGAAGCACAAGGGGTGCTGGAAACGCTGACGCTGAGCCTACTGCAGACAAAAAGAAGGTGGTGCAGGGATTGAGAATCAGGCAGCCACAGGGAGAGGGAGAGGGACAGGGAGAGGCAGAGGCAGAGGCAGAGGCAGAGGCAGAGGAAGAGGCAGAGGAAGTGGCAAGAGTTGCTCACATGAACAGTGTCAAGGCAACTCCAGGCAAGTCGCCTGCTGGGAAGAGGGGTGGCGATGGTGGCAGTGGTGTGCAGGAAGCGGGCAAACGGGTGACAAGAGCATCTGCTGTCGCCGCTGCTGCTGCTGCTGCTGGTGCCGCTGCTGCTGGTGCCGCCCCTGCTGCTGCTTCTGCTGCTGCTGCTGCTGCTGCTGGCAGTGGTGCGGCTGGTGGTGCTGCTGTTCATGCTGCTGCTGCGGGTGGTGGCAGTGCTCCTATGGGTGGCGCTGCTGGTCCGGTTGCTGAGAGGAGCAAGCGGGGCAAGGTGGCTGCTCAGCAGCCCCGAGTGGCGGCAGGTGAGGGGGACGAGGAGGAAGAGGCAGAGGGGTTGATGAATGGTGGGAGGAAGAAGAGGGGAGGTGAGAGGCTTGAGAGTGGGGAGAGGGGCAGGGGTGAGGAGATGGGGAGGGAGGGGTGGAAGGGTGTGAAGGTGGATGGGAAGGGAGCAGAGGGCGGAGTGGCAGACTGGTTCGAAATGGAGGATATTATTGAGGTGGAGGATGAAGAGGAGGAGGAGGTGGAGGAGGACGACGAGGAACTAGAGTTGCAGGAGGAAGAGACTGAGGAGGAGGAAGAGGAAGAGGAAGAGGAAGAGGAAGAGGAAGAGGAAGAGGAAGAGGAAGAGGAGATGGAGGATGAGGTGGAAGAGGAGGACGAGGAGGACGAGGAGGAAGAAGAGGAGAGGGAGGAAGGAGAAGAAGAGAGAGGTGCGCAGATGGAGGAAGGGGAAGTTGGGGAAGAGGAAGAGGAGGAGGAAGAGGAAGAGGAGGAGGAGGAAGAGGAAGAGGAGGAGGAGGAAGAGGAGGAGCGGCTGATGATGGGTCGTGACCCTGGGGTGAACGTGTGGAGGGTGGGGAGAGGTAGGAGCGCAAAGAGCACTGGTACTACTGGTTCTAGAGAGGAACAAGGGACGGCAGGAAGAGACGGGGGGCGATTTGAAAAGAAGGGAATGGGAAGAGTGACGGGGAAGAAAGCAGTGCGAGTAAGAAAGGGTGGGAGGCGGCAAGTAAGAGCAGAGGAAAGGGGGGGAGAGGAGGAGGTTGGGGTGGAAAGCGAGAGGCAGGAGGGACTAGAGGAGGAGAAGGAGGAGGAGGAAGGGGTGGGGAGAGCTGGAGAGGCGTGGGAGTGGTCGAATAGGGATGGAGGGGGGCATGATGGTCTGGCAGAGGCGTTTGACTTGTATGATGAGAGGGAGGAGGGCGAGGAGGAAGAGGTGAGGGAGGAGGCAGAGGAGGAGAGGGAGATAGAAGAAGGGGATGAGAAGGACGAGGAGGAAGAGCAGGATGAGGAGGAAGAGCAGGATGAGGAGGAAGAGGAGAAAGAAGAGGGGGAGGAGGAAGAGGAGGAGGGGGAGGAGGAAGAAGAGGAGGAAGAGGAGTTGTTTGCGGAGGGTGGTGTGCAGGAGGTGCAAGTGTGGAGGAGCATGCGAGGGCGGTATGCAGGGAAGACCGCAGGGGAGGGAAGAGGCATGAAGAGGAGCGACAAGCAGGAGACGGTACGTGCAAAGCAGGACAAGGGGCGCGCTGCGGCTGCTGATGGGCGCAGGCGCGCCGCTGCTGGTGCTGCTGGTGCTGAAGGGAATGGGCTTGCGGATGGGGAAGGATGGGAGGAGTTGGGGGGTGGGGAGGCACGGGGCAGGAGGGCAAGCAACCGGCTGCGAGGGCTGTGGGAGCAGAGGGCGAAGGGGACAGGGAAGAGAAATATGGAGGACCGTGCGGTGAAGAGCGGTGAGGAGGATGGGGCAGGAAGGGAGAGTGTGAGGCGGTATGGCAAGAGGGAGAGGAGGGGAGGGGTCGCAGAGGGTGCTGCTGGTGGTGATGGCGCAGAAAGAGAGGAGCATGTTGATCTTGGTGCTGGAGATGGTAATGGGTTTTATTCGCCTGCTCCTGCTCCTGCTCCTGCGCATGCTGGTGCTGGTGCTGGTGCCGGTGCTGGTGCTGGTGCTGGTGCTGGTGTTAGTGGTTATGCTGCTACTCCTTTGCAAGGGAAGGGTGTGAAGCAGGGAGGGGACGGGCAGGAGGGGTTGAGGATTGGGGGCAGCGCGAGAGGCAAGGGGAAGGGGCAGAGGAGGGTGCAGTTTGAGGTGGGGGATGGGGTGGAGGAGGGGGAGGAGGGGGGTTGAATGGGCGGGAAGAGGAGGAGGCGAGGGGCAAGAGGCAGCAAAGAAACGGGGAGGTCCGAGGCCTAGAGAGGAAGGGCGAGGGACAGAGAGAGGGGGAGGGGAATGGGGAGATGCAGAGGGAGAGGAGGAGCCAAGGGAGGAAGGGCGGGAAGGGGAAGCAAGCGGAGGGGACAAGTGAAGCTCTGAAGCAGGGAGAGGCGAGGGAGAGGGCAGTGGCAGGCCAGGGGATTTTTGAGTCGACTCAAAAATCACCTACTGCAGTGGCAGGGCAGGGGGGCAAGAAGCTGAGCCGCGAAATGAAGAGCCTTTTGAGGGATGGGGTGGAGCTTGGGGGGGGGAGTGGGAGCGGGAGGGCAGGGAAGGGGAAGCAATTAGAAGAAGAGGAGAGGGAGGAGCAGGAGGAGAGAGAGGAGGGTGAGGAGGAAGAGGAGGAGGAAGGTGAGGTGGGTGCCGCATCTCCCTTTAAAGGCGGCTCCAGAGGTGCTGCTGGTGCCCCTTGTGCCGCTGGTGCCCCTGGTGCCTTTAGTGCCCCTGGTGCCACTGGTGCCAGTGCTGCTGGTGGTGCCGGTGCCGCTGATGGGAGGAAGGGGGGAAGCGGTTTGAAGAGGCGAGGAGGAGAGGTGGAAGGGATGGCAGGGAGAGGGAGGAAGAGAAGAGTGGGCGCTGTTAAGGGCAGGCTGGGCCGTGTGAGAGAGGAGGAGGATGGAGTGAGAGGAGCCGGGCGCAAAGGTGGAGGGCGTGGGGAAATGAGGGGTGCGGAGGAGGGGAGGAGGGAGGGGGATGAGGAAGGGTCAGAGAAAGAGGAGGATGAGGGACGGCAGGCACCTGCTAGGTGAGATGGTGATTTGTAGCATGGCTCACTGCTCTGTAGCATGGCTTACTGCAATTCATTGCATGCATCTGTTGCCAATTTGCTAAGTTGTTGCTAATTTGCTAAGTTGCCAATTTGCTAAGTTGTTGCTAATTTGCTAGTTGCCAATTTGCTAAGTTGTTGCTAATTTGCTTCAGCAGGGCTCAGTTGGCACCTCCCCCGTGCTTCTCTCCTCACTCCATCGTAACATCTCCCCTCCATACTGCACTTGTCCGCCTCTGCGTGCATCTCCCCTCACTGCATGCCCCAATCCTTCCCTCCACCCAATCAGCCATGGCCGAAACAGGAAAACCGCCTCTACTCCTGCTACTGCTGCTACTGGTCGTAGCAACGCTGCTCCACCGGTCCCTCCTGCTCCTGCTGCCGCTGCTGGTGCTGCCGCCGCTGGTGCTGGTGCCGCCGCTGGTGTCGCTGCTGGTACTGCGGCTGCTGGTGGACGGCGAGTGAAGCGGAGATGGACAGACGAGGAGGAAGAAATGTTGCTGGTACTTGCTTCCATGTTCATCGCTGACCTTTCCAAGTCCTTGTGTGGTCTCAACACCTGCCTCTCCATGTATCTCTCCATGTATCTCTCCTCTCCATGTATCTCTCTATGTATCTCTCCTCTCCATGTATCTCTCCTCTCCATGTATCTCTCTATGTATCTCTCTATGTATCTCTCTATGTATCTCTCCATGTATCTCTCTATGTATCTCTCCATGTATCTCTCTATGTATCTCTCCTCTCCATGTATCTCTCCATGCTCCATGTATCTCTCTACGTATCTCTCCACGGGTGTCGGCTCTCTCCCCCTCCCCCATCCCTCACCTTCCCTGCTCCCCACTCCTTAGTCTGACTTCTCAGTTTCATCTCACGGCAACCGTGCCCTCTTCTCCCCTCACATCCTCTCTCTCTCTCTCTCTATCCCCCTCTCTCTCCCTCCCCCCCTCCCTTCCTCTCTCAGGGTGGGAGGTTCTGCATTTGTGGTGCCTTTTGAGTCGACTCAAGCCCACCTCAGCCCTGATGCCTGCTGTCTCTTTATCTCTCCCCCTCTCTCTCCCTCTCTTCCCCCATCGCCCCCCCTCTCTCCCCCCCTCCCCCTGTCTCTCCGCCTTCCCCCCCCCCCCCGCATCAGGAGCTGATGGAGCGCCACAGAGCGGCGGCGGACAAGTGGAAGCTGATCCTGAACTGGATGTGATCCTGAACTTCAGTCAACTCAAAGCCCATCCTCTACCCTGTGTCGTCTCTCTCCCCCTCTCCTCCTCTGCCCCTCTCCCCCCCTGTCCCCCTTGTCCCCCCTGCCTCCAACCAGAAGCTGATGAAGAGCACCACATAGCGGCAGCAGACAAGTGGAAGCTGGTTCTGCACTATATGTGCCTCTTGAGTCGACTGAAGAAAACCCATCTCTCCCCGAATGCAAGTTGTCTCTCTTGCTCTTGCTCCCCCTCCTCCCCGCTCCCCCTCCCCGCCCCCCCACCAGGAGCTGATGGAGCGCCACAGGGCGGCGGCGGACAAGTGGAAGCTGATTCTGCAGCACGGGCGGCACCGCTTCCACCCCTCACGCACGGCCGTGGACCTCAAGGACAAGTGGCGCAACCTGCTCAAGTACAAGTGCTCCGCGCTCTGACCCACCGGCTGCTGATAAGGGTCTGCTGCCACGCCCTCTGCTGCCACGCCCTGTGCTGACAGACGCTGGGGGAGCCTCAGCTCAGTCGCATGATCCCGTCGCTTCCACCCCTAGTGCAGGACCGTTGACCTCAAGGACAAGTGACGGAAGCTGTTCAAGTGCAAGTGCTCCGTGCTCTGACTCTCTTATCTCTCACAGAGTATGGCCGACTCATACGGTGGTGCTTTGGCCGTTACTACTCAATGCTCTGACAACCTTAGGAAGTCAACACACTGACCTGTGACTCCTCTGCCGCGCAACCACTCTTCTACCCAAGCGTTACCTGGCATACCTGCTGACCGACACTGTCCGCTCTGTGTTGGCTCACACCTCACTCCCTCCTCACACCTCGCACTGCTACCCCACCCTTTTGTGACTGCCACCCGAGCAAAGCACGATACGCTAACTGCAAACCAGTCTCCTCGCTGGTGCATGTGTGACAGCTAATGCTTCCATCCCCCTTTGCAGCTAGTGTTTCTACCATGTGTTACTGTGTGCAATAAGAGCCTTGGCATTGAACAAACAGTACCTATCATCTACTTTCTGCTTTCTTGGTTAACCCTTTGTTTTGTGACCAGTTTTTTTAGATGTAAATTTTGAACGTGTTATACTTTTAAATTGCGTATCGTGAACGTGAAGCTGCTTGTAATGCAGTTTTTGCATCGCAGAAGCGAGCTATTCGCCCTTCTCCGACTAGGTAATGTGGTTGGAGGCAGGCCCCACGATTGGTTTTCGGGTACCCTGATTCAGGCCCCCAAATTGCAGACTTTTTACTCTGTGTTGGAAACACCTCAAAGACTTGAGCATTTCTGAAGTGTAATACTACACTCGAAGAAAAGTCGTATGGAGTACACGAGTCAACATAGGTTACACGAGGAGGTTGGACGAAAGAACACGAAAGGACGAAGGGACACGAAGGGTTGCAACCGGAGGTTGCGACTGACCGTTGCGACTGCAAGGGTGGTAACCGAACCAACGATCGAGTCGCTGTGCGACTCGATAACCGTTTCTTCAACTGTATTCTACAATTGCTTTATTCCCTATTTTCTATATATTCCTGTATGCTTGCTTCTTTTAATCAATCACTTGCTCTCACATACTAGTGCAAGGGTTCAACTACTCAACACTTCCGCTGCACTACTCAAACACCGTGTTCAAGTGGGACTTAGTCTCTAGAAAGATCCTAAGGGCTTTTCTCAGCCCAACATGGTATGAGAGCTGGTCAGAGACCAAACTCCCAGCAACAACACTCAACCTACAGTCAAGCACATCAAGAGAGTCATCGATTAAAAGTCATGGACAGCAAGGGAAAGAAGTCTTCTACGGGCTCACCCAACGCCCAAGACACTCAACCCGGCAACTCTTGACTACACACTTCAGGACTACAAACTGAGACCGGCGCTGCTCAAGAAACAACAGGGAGGGTACCAGAAATGGTGACCCCTTCACCCTATTCAAGCGTGGACCCGAACCTTATGGAAAGGTTCTTCAGCTTCATGTCGCACTTTGACCAGCAGCAGCAGACAAGGACACCTGCGCATTCAACACAGAGCAACGGAGGAAATATGGGATTAGCACCAATGAGCCTCGACAACTCATCATTCGGGCGGCACAATCAGGCGCCTACCTTTGCGCCTTATCACTCTTCACCGGGGACGTTTGATTTCATGCCGCCCCGTGCTCAACCGACAGCAGCTGCATCACAACAGACACCAAACGAGATATTAAGTCTCTAGGCGCAGTTTTCACGTGTGATCAAACTGCAGACATCTTCACCGTTCAACGGGCACGACTTTTTTACCTGGAGTTTTGAGTTCGAGCTGCTGATGGAGGCCGCGCACCTCTTGGGATACTTCAACGGGTCCCTGCCATTTCCAAGCAATGGCACTGCAAAGGAGCAGGAAATCTTCACTTATCAGTCGCTGCTGGCGTACACATTTCTCATGCGAAATCTGTCACCACAAGAGCAACAGAGCATCAGAACGTATCGGAGCTACGGAAACTCCGCGGAACTCGCCTGGCATTATCTGAAGTGCCTCTATCAAGCAAACGACAGTGTAACACAAAGCAGACTCATGCAGCAGTTGACCACAATAAAAATGAAGACCGGGGAAAAGGCGATGCAGTATATGAGTTGCTGCGAGACACTCCGCGACCGCCTGCTCCAGTGTGGAGGTACAATCACTGAAGAAAGCTTCGTGACACTTGTCCTCGCCGGGCTCGGGCCAGAATGGAGAACCACGCGCTCGCTTCTTCGCGCCCACGGACGAATTTCCGAGATGCACCTCTGCGCCGAGCTCCATGCTGAACAATAGGAGATGGACCTGTTTGAAGAAAGACAACCAAGAAACAAGCAGCAACCGTTAGTCTTCTATACTCAACAAAGAAACAGCAACAACTACAACCGACGTGATAAGCAGAACCGACACGACACCAGATGACTCACCATCGTGCCACCGTTCTGCCACAACTGTCAGACATCCGGGCACTCCAAGGTTAATTGCACGCGCCCTCGAGTTTATCGTCCAGCAGATCCGCAAGTTGCCTCCACTCAAGAAAATCCGCCAAGCCGCTCGTCTACACCAAACATCATCAACTGCATGATACGGATCGACAGCTGCAGACCCGAATCACCACCCACTTATGCTCCAGACGAAGAAGAACTGCCGCCGCCACGTTCACAAGGTCTCCTGGTCAACCCGACGTATGCTGCAGTCGCCAACGCCGAACCGACCGGGCGAAACACCTGGTTCTTGGACAGTTGCTGCGGCCAACATATGTGTTCTTTCGGGCGCTTCATGCAACGAGAGCGTCGTCTCAACCGCGATGTCATCATCACTGTTGCCAACAACGAGAACCTGAAAACAAACAGACAAGGCGTCGTTGAGTTTGAGTCAATGGAGACAAATGTCATACTACAACTCAACAAAGTCCTCATCATCGACAACTTGGGATACAACCTACTAAGCGTCAGCCAGTAAATGGCGAAGGGGATTCACCTGGAATGCAACTCGGACGACAACGAGTTTCGCCTTTACCACGGGAAGGGCGGCCTCTTCATCGCTCACGCTCTCCTGAAGTCGGGCGTCTTCGTGCTGGATTTCGTGCTGGATTTCGTCCCCGACCGCGGTACTGCCGACAGCGATGGCATCGTGTCGTTTGCCGCCTGGACGAATCCGCCGGATCTTAACCCCGACTTTACTCCAGACAGCTTCTGGTACTCCAACACCATCCCTGCAGCAGAGAGAACCCGAGCATTAGCAGTCATTCGACAAGAACGACAAGTACCAACAAGTACACCTTCCTCGACATCACCTGTAGCAACAACAGCAGGACCAAGCCGCGGGCCATCACCCGCAATCCGAGGACCGCCATCAGAAGCAGATCAACTCATGCCCATCACCCGAGGAGTCTGCCGCAGTCCCGCCACAGTCGTCGCGTTCTTCTCCAACGCCGACCTGTACCAGCGCTCACCCGGCCATCGCGCTCCCGACGACATCTGGCATCAACGCCTCGGACACCCTGCAAACAACACAGTACTACAAACCATACAAGCCGGAGTATTAGAAAAGGACGCTCTTCTCACAACAAGCGGAAAGGAGCTTTGACGACCCCGCGCACGATGCTTCACGTGTCCCGAAGCTGATCTTCCCCACCAACCTTTTCCGTCGCACCACAATCCAAGCGCACCTGCATACGCACCGATGGAAAAGGTCTACAGCGACATCTTAAATATGCCTCGAGACGACAGTGAAGCAGAGTACAACTATGTCATCACGTTCATCGACGCAGCAACACGATACGTCTGGCACTACTACCTCAAGACATGAGATCAAGCGTTCGAAGCGTTCACGACATGGCTCCCTATCGCTGAACGAGAGTCGGGGTCGCAACTCAAGAGTTTCCAGTCAGACGGGGCACTGGAATACCAGTCACAACGATTCAGGAACTACTTGGCAGAAAGAGGCATCAGACGCCTGGTGTCTCTACCCTACGCTCACCAACAGCACGGGGTCGCAGAAAGGATGAACAGAACCTTGCAGACGACGATGCGGAAGCTGCTCCTGGGGATGAGACTGCCTAACACGCTTTGGCCTGACGCGATGACGGATGCAGTCCACCTGCACAATTTGCTGTCCTCGTCATCACTTCCAAACAGCGCATCACCGCACCTGCTGTGGACAGGAAAATAGGGCAGTACAAAATTACTTCGAGTCTTCGGCTGCATGGTACAGTACAGACCCCACATAGCTCGAGCAGGTCGATTCTCTCAACGAGCACGGTGGGGACTACACCTCGGCATCGCAAAACATTTCCAAGCATGGAAACTTCTCGACATTCAGGACAAAACCACCGTGGCCTCACGTGATGTAATCTTCTACGAGCGACTGACGCTGCAACATTACCTGGACAACATCGCCAACACAAACGACCCCACCGACGGCTTCGAGGGCCATCGGTCCTTCGCCGACCGTGCTGCCGAAGATGACGCAGCAGAAGAAGACGTACCTGAAGCCTCGGAAGTTGCCGGACCACTCCCTTACTGCTCCGTGCCCGTTCCACTCAACGACGACAATCCTCTCGATAGTAACAACCTCGACACTTATTACCACTTCGCTGACCAAGGTTACACTACACCTCAACCGGTCGACACAAATATCTCTGAACGCATTAGACCCAATTTCTTACCCGACCCCGAAGACGGTGACGAAGCAGCTTATCTCGAGAATGACAATTCCCCTTTACACACACCCACGGGCCTGCAGATACTTGGACTATGGGTCGCCGTCCAGAGCCCGCCGCCGCCGTCGCCGCGTGAGCCATTGACTCTGTCGCAAGCTCTGGGGGGGGAACACAAGGCGAAATGGAAGGAAGCAATGGAAACGGAACTGAAGGCCCTGCAGGACCGAAATACATGGAAGCTGGGACCTGCAACAAAAACCAACAGGAAGAATGTGCTCTCGGGGAAATGGGTGTACCGCATCAAGACAAATGCGGACGGCTCCATCGACCGTTTCAAGGCTCGTTGGGTCGTAAGAGGATTTGAACAGCAATACGGAACCGACTACACGGAGACATTCGCCCCAGTCTCCCGACATACTTCTCTACGCATTTTGCTCACCATTGCAGCCACGAAAAAGCTACCACTACGCCAGATCGATGTCGCCAACGCCTTCCTGTACGCACCTGTGGACGCCGAAATCCTCATCGAGCAGCCCCACGGATTCATCGATGATCCCACAAAGGTGTGCCAGCTGGTGAAATCCCTACGGAATTAAACAAGCCCCGCGGCTTTGGCAGCAGCACCTCCACGACCGCCTCGTCAGGATCGGTTTTCTGCAGCTGCCGCACGATCAAGGCATGTACCGACTACAGAAGGGGGGGGATTTCGTCCTACTCATCGTCTACGTCGATGATCTACTCTACGTCGGCTCCACTACTGACGTCACCACCTGGTTCGAAGGGGAGCTGAGGAGTGACTTAACACTCACGGTGTCAGACACCGTGAGCCAGTACCTAGGTCTAAACATCATCAAAGACGACTCGGCGCTCTACCTACACGCCAGAAAATACGCAGGCGTTGTCGCGAATAAATT